GGGACGCCTTTAATGTTTTGTTCAGCAGACGGTAATCGAATGCCGATTTTCGACCTAACGCTTGGAGGATATTCCAGTTTGTTCCTGGTGCGTTTAAGTCTCCCATGATCATGATGTTAGGTCGACAGGAAAACTACTCCAACTGCTCTAATAGTTGAGTGTCGGCGATTTGATCTGTCCTAGGTGGTCGGTAGACAGTCATGACATCGAGAAACAGGGAACAGGTAGCCTTGATGGTCAACCAAATAGCTTCCGTACCACACGCAAACTTGGTGGTGTTTTCCGATACTGCGAGGCCTTCATTCGCATACACAACTATATCACCACTCTGACGATGTTCCCTGTCCCTCCGATAAATTTGGTATCCAGGCAAGGCTACTTCGTTATCGCTAGTACTCCTGGTCAGCCAGGTCTCGGTTACTGCTAAAACATCTGGAGACACCTCGGCAAGGCAAAGTGTTAGATCGTCTAGTTTCGATATGAAGCTTTTGGGCCTTCGTGTACAAGCAACTCAGTTTTGCACCAGCCGAATTTCCCGTTGCATTTGTTACTGTTTTGAGCATTACTCTGTTATCTCGGCCGCCATGCTCCCTGAGCTCTTTCTTTATCTGATAAGTTCCATTTATATGCGTTGCTTCAGTCAGATCACTGGACGTTACGCGCTCACTTGTGTTGCCGCCATGAACAGGTGGTTCAACGAAGGTATCTGTGTTAGCTGAGTAGCTGTCGTCGTTCGTAGTATTACAGGCTGGCACCACTGAAACGGCATATATTTCCGAACTACCTTCCCCTTGAAAATAGCTCGATTGTGTTCGCCACCCTTCAGTCTTGATTTTAATTCCAAGACAAGTTCCCGGCGTTTAAGGCGTTCCGCTGGTGAATAGTCCGGTTGGAAAAAACCTGTTTGTGTGCGTGTTCTGAGGTCGGTTTTTTTTTAGAGAGGATCAACTTGATCTGTTCTTTGTTCTCCAGCATAATTTTATGAGGGCGTGGTGGTTGTGCTGCTGTCCTGTCTCCACTCCGTTTTCCTATCCGGAATGCCTTCAGAACCTTTATTTCCATCTCTGCTTGGAGTAACTGATTTAGTAGATCATGGAAAGAAGCAAGGTCCTCCGAGACACTGTCTTCAGGTCTGACTGCATTCGATTCTGACAAACCCTGAATAACCAGACACTGCTGGCGAGCATGGTTCTCCTTACTTTGCCGCAGCGGTGAATTCGCTGCAGGTGGGCGACGACGATTTGCGAAGTCGTCACTTGGATGCACACTTTTGATCTCTGCCGACTGTCCCGAGCAACCCATCAGGTCTGGCTGTGACTTCAGACTCCTGTCATGGCGTTTCCCTCTCCCCTCTACTCCTCTTTGCATTTAAGCACGTGCTCTATACTGCGCTCGTGGTGGTTGCCAGAACAAGAGGGCAACAGTAGACTGGATGACCCAGGTATATCGTCTCTAGGCAGAAGAGAAATCCCGTCACTTACAGCAAGAGGCTTAGGCGAGATAGCTTCCGCGCCAGGTAATTTTTTGTGACATCGCTTAAGACATCTTGCGTGGGAAGCGAGTCGGACCTTATCGGCTGCGTTTTTTCGTTGTCCTGCTGTTACCGGCGTCTGCAATTTTGGCTACTGATTTGCTACTCGTGTTTGAAGATGCCTCCGAGGAGATATTTTTTCGCGTTTTTTGCGTTTTGTTCTTCGTTTTTGGGACTCTAACACTGGACACGTTCTGGTAGTCTAGGGCCTGTCTCACGAGCGTCCTTAAATCACCAAGCTCCTTTTCGAGTTGTTTTACTTTGATTTGGATATCTGCGCGCCTAACACAAGGCTTGTCTTCCTACCTCACACTTTTTGCGGTAATTACGCTTTGTGCACGCTTTGCTGGTCGTTTGCTGGAGGCGAAGGTAGAGCGAGCACAGGTTCTGGATGCGAAGGATATCTCACCAGACTTATCTCCCAACGAGGTGCCGTCGCTGGCCGTACTACTATAGTTAGCTTGCAGTTATTGGGAATTCAGTCTATTTCAGGAAGGCCAGAATCCAATGTAATTATTTTAAAATTAAAAGCAACTTCCAAAATTCTTTTAAATATAGCACAAATTTGTGAATCATGGCTGGTTGAAGACTTTGGTGGATTGCAGATGCAGTCATTAATTGCCCTCCTTTGCGGCGAGAGTATAACAAATGTGTTTTGATCTTGTCGCGCTTTGTACTTCTCTTTTTTACTTACATCTCTCTTTGGCTCCCTCTACTGAAACTGTTCTGTCGTATGAGCAGTTTCAAAGTCTGAACGCTTTTTCGGTGGTCCAAACCCTGTGCCCTGTTCGAAGTTAAAAAGTTGCAAACTAACCCAGGAAGGCCTCCACAATGTGCTGTAGCACTCGAGCTTTCGGGGATCCGGTTGGTGTTACCTTGTCTGAACCGCTGTTATAGTCCTGATTTTCCGTACTGCTTTCCAACTCACTTCCTTTTTGCTGGAAAAATGCCTACTAACTTTGCCGGCGTTCATGACCGCTAACAATCAGGTGTACAATAACGAAAGTTATTTGAACGATAAACAGTTTATTATGAGAAACACTTGGAACTTTCTTCCACACTCACTTACTCGCAAGACCGGTCTGTCAGGAGTCTCACAAATTTCGCAGTTATTCGATAATGATGGGGCCGGGAACGTCACCAGATGAAGGGAGACTGAATCCTCATACACGCATGGTAAAAAACGGTTCTCACACTAAAATCCCCAACTCTATCTAAAAGCCCGCCTCTAGCTACTCCAACAAAAGCTCGCCTACTGTCATATTGTAATGTTCGTCTGATGCAGTGACAATGGTATCATGAGTAAATTAAATTAAATTTAATTTAATTTAATTAAATGCCAGTTTACAGGCATTGTCAAGGGAAGTGATGTCACTCATGTGAGGAAAGCTTCCGCTTCTTCACGATCTGAGATACGGATGGAGATTCAGTTACGGAAAAAGCCATAACTCAACACACCAGAAATTGGTTTATGGAGTTCTGTAGAAAATAGAAGACGGTGCTCGAGACGAAAGTTTATTGCGAGGGAGAAAATGAAACTGCAGCAAAGTGATAGAACAATGGCTACTTCAGGGTACTGGAGAAGTGGTAAAAACATGCATGCAGACTGTCGATCAGACGACTAGACAGGAAAATATTTATCAGGGCAAATAGGGAAGACATATCAATGCGTCTACAAAAGGGCACTGAGAAAGTAAACGGATGCAAAATGGGGTTTATCGAGTCAGGCAGACCGCTGAGGGTCACCAAATACGCACAATGCACTAGGTCACTAATTTCTTACAAAAGTCGTAATTCGTCACTTGAAATAAGAACGGGTCGTTCAGTTCTGTTTGTTAACAGTCGATGACGACGAGGCTAGCATGCCTCGAGTGTGTGTGAAGCGTCAGGAATAAATCCAAGCTCAATGGGGCTGAAGATAGTTGTTTAACACGTCATTACACTCATCTTGGAAAGGAGATGAAAGAATAATTTAGCGGTGCAAGTGCATAGAGACAGAAGGAATTTGAGTATATATGGTAATAGTTAAATATAGAAAGAGGATTAGTTACAACAGAGGGATAACCTGACTAGATGGAGAGGTGGCGGTAACATGCCTGCTAAACAACCGGTTGGGGACGCAGTGCTATGGGAAGCCGTAGGGGAGGGCCGTGGAAGGTTCCGACGTAAAGTGAGAGAAGATAGCTTAAGCGAGTTGCGACAGCAGAGGGGGAAAGAAACCGCTTATTTTCACCGACACGCAGTAACACCATCACTCCACCAGGGTCCACTTCTTTTAGACAACACGATATATTTCGTGGACTTTACAATTTGACTGTTGCGCTGTAGCATCCAGCTGGTTTGAGGGTTGGGTAGACGGAGGATCAATAGGGTTAGAAGATAACTTCCACTTCTTCGTCACAACGTATACGGTCGCTACAAGCTTAAAGGGGTATGTAATAGGAGAGCAATCCTAACACCTGGAATTCCCCGCAGGCTGCGTGTATAAAGATGATGGTGACCCCATGACCGCTTCCACAACTGAGTCGTCGTCTAATACTGGATTAGAATCTTCCGTGATACTGCACATGCTTCCAGTGGAGTAATCCAAGAGCTTAGGATATGCAATAAAGATATTATTTAGGGGACACTGTATATTCCTTAATAGAGAACAAGGAGGACAGAGGGGGATTAACGACAAATACAAGATGTAGAGGAAACGTGGAGTTAAGAACTACAAACAGTAATATATGCAGGATAAACTGACTCTAAATGGGGGAATTGTGTTTACCAACAAAAAAAGAATGTACAGATTGAAAGAAACAGAAAAAGAATGTTCTAGGCTCACGTAAAGTAGAATCTTATCAAGTAGAGAGATAGTGTCCCGATGAGGAACTGGTTGAAGGGAGGCTCTAGGTTCCGCGATGATAAGTTGAAGTCGGCTTTGAGGAGGAAGTCTCCGTCAGCACGTACGAATTGCTAAGAATATTGAGAGGTGGCAAGCGCACGCCAAGAAATAACGACGTCCAACACACTCGAAACCAGAACACATGTTGACCGCCGCAGCGTAGTTAATGTGTATTTTCGTTTAGTCAAACAAATGTACAGGCAGGTCAGGTGTACAAGAAAATGTAGAGAAACAAATCAAAAGTGAACGAAAGCCTTCAAAGACAAGGGAGTGACTTATACAACCGAATGGGGGGGAGGTAGCGGACGGTTCACGGCTGAGGCTTTGGAGGTAATATATCCTTTCTTTTTCCTTCCCAGCTGCACTCGCCATCACGCCCTTATCTACCGTCTTCTTTTTTTTCTTACCTTAACAACTGCCGCTGTTATGGGTATACTGAGGTTTGCTTTCACGGTTGCTGAATTTAACTGGCGTAAATTCCAACCATTCAGATGTTCATTCGTCACTTCTCTCGTCCTTCGCGCGTGGTTGGCTATTGCGAATTATTCGGTTTGTTGGTGGAGAGCCCTTCCCTTAGAAGTTATGGTTGGGAATGACTTTTCTGATGTTTATTACGGTATACCTCGGTTAACGAGGTATTGGTTAACTGGAACCGTTGTTCTATCTCTTCTCGGAAAGTTAGGCCTTATAAGCCTGTTTTCGCTTATATTGGAGTGGAACAAATTCTTCTATGATTTCCAGGTACATAAACTGACCCGCAATTCAATCACCTCATCAGATATGGCGGCCAGTGACGGCTCTCTTCTTTTATCCAGTAACACCCCAAACTGGATTCCACTTCCTTATTAACCTTTACTTTTTGTACACATATTCGTCCCGGTTGGAAACTGGTAGGTCCTCTTGTCTGACCCAATCTGTTAGTCGAATTCAGCGGACGTCCTGCGGAATACGCCTTCCTCCTACTCGTTAACTGGATTACTCTGACCGTATCCTTTGAAAGCATATTTAGGGTGGAAATTTGCCTGAATTTTGTTTCGAAATCAGTTACTTCATGCGCTGAGCAAACTAGCTTGATGTACTAGGTCAACTGTCTATGGAGAGCTTTCAGCGACTCCCCCCTCTGATTGAGTAATTTACCTCCTGCAAATATGACTGCTCAGCTACATATTAGTCTCTTTCAAAATTTTTTCCTTAGCTATTAGTTTATTGGCTTTCTTATGGGCTTCTACGTAAGTTACCGATACTTTTGTGTCATCGCTCTTGGTAGATTTTTGCTTTTCGTCCTTCATATGCATCTGAGTTGTCACTTTATCTCTACAGTAGCCCTTCTTCGGGATATATTGACGAATTATATGACTTTTTCTACTACATTGTACGATCGAAGGACATCGAAAATGCCATGTTAAGAACCGTGCGAATGACATTTCCTCTTAACTTTAAACCATCATCGATTCTCCGGCACGTATCATGTCTGGCATTTGTCGACATTCTAGATTTAAGGTTTGCTTCCCCACGAAAATATACGGCAATGAAGGACCCGAACATGATAAAAAAATGACAAAAGAATTTGTTTTATAATTTGTCTTTTGGAAGGATGACCAATTTTGCATATCCATTGGAAAGCTATGGCGAATAGTAGGTTTTTGTTAACGGAATCACCTTGGTTGGAGGAGCATCAGTAGAATTTATCGGTTTTGCATTCACGGTGTGGCACTTTCTACGAAATGGGGCATTTAAGGATTTTAAGTCAATTTCGGTGCTTCCATACCAGCTTTCGGTAACTGGCGTGTCTCATGAAGTGTTGACCGAAATTTTGAATACGTTTACAATTAGGAAGGATTGTGTAGGTAGGTTTGCAATATTGATTATCGCACAGTATTATCCCATGAAATTTCAATCACGCCATGATTAATTTCTTCCGGACACCTGCGAGGACCACACCTGATGTAGAATTACTATTCATAGATGTTTTAGCAGATTTTTGAATAATTCATATTGACTCAACTGTGAAAAACTCTGTGCCTCGGTGGGATTCGAACCCACGCAGTAAGGGGAAGGCTTTAGTACAGCCAACACTCTAACCACTGGAGCTACGAGACCCCGCCGGACGTCGAAATTTTAATCACATTTGGGTCAAGTTACCCGCCCAACTTACTGCAACGTTGGAATCCACCACATCTGATGACTACCAGGCTCACGTAGTTCATAGATGCTTTGGCAGATTCCTGAATAACTCATATTGACCTATATTGATTTGGTGGATTCCTGACTTTACAGTAGGTTGGGCGGGTAACATGACCCAAATGTGATTAAACTCGCGTCGTCCGGCGGGGCCTCGTAGCTCATGTGGTTAGAGCGTTGGCTGTACTAAAACCTTCGCCTTACTGTGTGGGTTCGAACCCCACCGAGGCACCGAGTTTTTCACAGTTGGGTCAATGTATATTATTCAAAATCTTCCAAAACATCTATGAATAATCGTACTTTATAAAAAGGTTGCATGGACAGTTTGTTAATTAAGCCGATATTCAGAAATGCGTTTCTGATAAGGATGGATTGCTTAGGCGGGGTTGTACTATTGAGCATCACGAAGCGTAATCCTATGGTATTTCGGACCCGCCAGAATGTTGGTTTTTGAGTGCAATTCTTTTCAACCTCCTGCAAAATCTGCACTTGATGAAAATGACCATTTAAGTAGTATGACTTTTTCACATTTCCAACTGCCTGATAAGTTGAAATAAATCTTATAGAAAACACGCACAGAACATGCTTTATCTTATTCGTTTGGTAGCAATGCACGTCGTCTTCACATTTTATACTCGAAGACAACGTACCTTTCGGCTTGACATTTTTTTAATCTTGAGATTTTCTAAGACCGCGCAATGTGCATTCATACAGCATCGTACCTGTCCGTTTAGTAATGCTCTTCATAAAGTATGTAACATAGTCTGCGTCCATAGCAACTTCTTGTGAACTCTAAATGGCATCTTTTTAAAGGCGTAGAGGAATATGTGATAATCTTTATGTGGTTAGTAAACACCTTGTAGACTGAAATCGCTACAGGCTAACGCAACGGTTGATCTAGCTCAAATTTATTCGGGAATTGAAACTTTTTTCAAAGCCTAAATATATCCCTTCTTCGGGTAAAAAATGTGCTACCAAATTAATGAAATAATGCATATTTTGTGCGCGTTTTCTATAAAATATGTTTGAATTTGCAAGGCCGTCGAAATCCAATGTGAAAGATGCGTGCTACATAAGTAGTCATTTTTTTACCGATGCGGTTTTCACAAGAGATGAAAAAGAATTGCAGCAAAAAGCTAACATTCTGGCGAGTCCGGAATATCGTATGATTATGCCTCGTGATAATTAATATTACAACCCCACCTAAGTAATCCCTCCTAATCAAAAACAATGCCATTGACCGAATATTTAGATTTCGAATTGTAAGTTGTCTGAACTAAAGCAATGGCGCTTCTTATTAGATCTATGGACATCTCTCAGTGGTCATGGCAGCGTCTATCTGGCTCGTGCACTAGTCCGCAGATAAATGAAAGGATACTTGGGCGACTTAAGCTAAATCACTATCTCCGCAGTTCCTCCCCTTCCATTTTTAGTACCTTGCAAAGTCCAAGTAACTTGGCCTTGCTACCGTTTCAGTTTTCAGCCTTCTATCTCCTGTGACATGCTTTTGACCAGAGCGAAGCTGATTTTATGTGACTTTGCCGCCTTCTAAATCAGCAAGACTCGACATCCTGACTAGTTTATCCGTTTAAAATGCATGAGTAACTCGGTACCAATTACCAGATCGCCTTCAATCTCATGGAATAACGATTTTTTTCCTGTACAGCTGCTCTTTGAGCCGATGGTCCTCAGCGTCATGTACGTGTGGTGCCAGATGAACCGGGAGGCAGTCGTCCAGTTTTGGTTTGGCACCCAATTCAAGGCAATCTACTTCCCATGGGCACTTGTGGTCTTCAATATCATCATTCGCGGAAGGTAGGGATCCGTTTTACTCTCTCTTTCCTAACCTTTGTCTACTTATAGTGCTCTGATGGAGCTCGTCGGTATCTTTGTCGGCCATGTCTACTACTTCTTTGCCCATCAATACCCGCAAGAGTTCGGCGGTCCGCAACTCCTCAAAACACCTGCCTTTCTGTAAGTTCTTCCTCTTTCACATGCCTCTTAAGCATCTTATATTTATTACCTGTTCAAGTAAGTTCCTTGAATATGAACACTTTTGCGGTACCTTGGTTTACGCTATAACAGGTCCTCCTTCGTACATTATGCCAGAACTAACAACATCCCTTTCTCCACCTCCTAACTCGTCAATACTGACTCAGTCGACCCATGGGGCATTAAGTATTTCTGAAATGTCCGTCATCCTTTGATAGAGACCGTATCCGTTGCATTTGGGGTCGGAGTCACCGACCTCAAACGTTTTCGTCCGCTGCCCAACAGAGCTTTAATAGTTAGAAATTGGTGGGGACGGTCGTGACTATAGGCCATACAGTCAGTGACTGATCTCATGAAATGTTATCCGAGATTTTGAAATGTGTTTTTGATTAGGAGGGATTACTTAGGTGGGGTTGTAATATTAATTATCACGAGGCATAATCATACGATATTCCGGACTCGCCAGAATGTTAGCTTTTTGCTGCAATTCTTTTTCATCTCTTGTGAAAACCGCATCGGTAAAAAATGACTACTTATGTAGCACGCATCTTTCACATTGGATTTCGACGGCCTTGCAAATTCAAACATATTTTATAGAAAACGCGCACAAAATATGCATTATTTCATTAATTTGGTAGCACATTTTTTACCCGAAGAAGGGATATATTTAGGCTTTGAAAAAAGTTTCAATTCCCGAATAAATTTGAGCTAGATCAACCGTTGCGTTAGCCTGTAGCGATTTCAGTCTACAAGGTGTTTACTAACCACATAAAGATTATCACATATTCCTCTACGCCTTTAAAAAGATGCCATTTAGAGTTCACAAGAAGTTGCTATGGACGCAGACTATGTTACATACTTTATGAAGAGCATTACTAAACGGACAGGTACGATGCTGTATGAATGCACATTGCGCGGTCTTAGAAAATCTCAAGATTAAAAAAATGTCAAGCCGAAAGGTACGTTGTCTTCGAGTATAAAATGTGAAGACGACGTGCATTGCTACCAAACGAATAAGATAAAGCATGTTCTGTGCGTGTTTTCTATAAGATTTATTTCAACTTATCAGGCAGTTGGAAATGTGAAAAAGTCATACTACTTAAATGGTCATTTTCATCAAGTGCAGATTTTGCAGGAGGTTGAAAAGAATTGCACTCAAAAACCAACATTCTGGCGGGTCCGAAATACCATAGGATTACGCTTCGTGATGCTCAATAGTACAACCCCGCCTAAGCAATCCATCCTTATCAGAAACGCATTTCTAAATATCGGCTAACATTTCATGAGATTGATCACTCGCTGTAGAACGAACTCACCCTGGATGGCACAGGGGTGAGCAATACATGAACGAGATCAGCTCCGAATAGCTCCCGGTTGACCTGGATGTGGCTGCGTCAGGAATATCGACCTGTCGAGCTCCTGCTCTGCAGTGTAGACCTGGAAGAACAGCCTTAGCCTTTAGAACGTGTCTTCACTTGCAAGGATAACCGCTTGTGTGCCGAAAAATCCAAGACTCATCCGTTGTGTCTCTCCTATCATGTGGGCTGGCAAGTAGTTCCCCCAAAATCGGAAGAACGTAGGAGGACCACCTGAAACACGCCTAGGTTAGAAGCTTTTAAAAATCTCTGTCTTTTGCTAGTGCTGTTGCTCGAAAGGAAACCATCTCTAAGCGAAGAAGGATTCACAACGTCTGTCACGCGCAGTGAACGCGGCACTGGTTTATGGTGGGGCAGACTTGCGTAGCACCTACCACACTCTTCCATCACCCACTATGTTTCGATGTCAAGACAAAGTCAGGGCGGCCAGAGATGGGTGTTGGCGCAGTGACTGACAGAATTAAATGGCCCAAATAACATTACCGACATAGGCAAGAGAGATTGGAGTGGCCGTTTCCGGCCTGTTGCCCGTCGTCAGATAGCTATACTCAAGCTCGAGGTGTGCAGCATCTGGAGCTCGATCCCGCGACTTTTTGGGAGGAAGTCCAACGCCCTAACCACGAGCTCGTTGTGCTGTTGGTTTCCACCGGGTATACATAATAGCAGAGGGACCCTCACCAATCGCTTTATGGAACTCAGTCGTCCCATTGTGCCTTAGGGCTTTCTCGAGCCCTGCCAGCAGCCGTTCATCGGCGCGTAATATAGACAGATTAATATTAACGACGAAGACAAGGGAGACTGGAATATCTACTTCTGGCTTACTGAACTTTAGTTAGAAGTTCAACGCCCTAACCACTGAGCCACGGACTCGTTGCCCTGTTGGTTGCGTTTGTGAATATACAACGGTAGAAGGAGCGCTCACCGATAGTGTTACGGAACCCCATCGTCCCGTTGTGCCTAGGGGCTCTTTCTTGAGCCCAACCAACAGCTGCACAGCGGCGCGTAATATAGACAGGATGGTGTTACCGACAAAGACAAGGGAGACTGAAATGGCTGACTGACGACGGCTAATAGGCCAGAAATTACCATTCCAGTCTCCCTTGTCTTTGTCGGTAATACTATTCTGCCTATATCATGCGCCGCTGTGTGGCTGCTGGTTGGGCTCGAGAGAGAGCCCGTAAGGCACAACGGAACGAGTGAGTTCCGTAAGAACGGTCGGTGAGCGCCCCTTATCATTGTATATTGCCGATCGAAACCGACAGGGCAACGGGCTCGTGACCCAGCGGTTAGAGGCGTGAACTTCTAACTACCAGGTCGCGAGTTCGAGCCTCGGGTGTTTCACACTCCGGGGGGGGGGGTGGGGGGTTGCGTATGACTGACTGACGACGACTAATAAGCCGGAAATGGCCATTCCAGTCTCCCTTGTTTTGTCGGTACTAACATTCTGCCTATATATCGTGCGCCGCTGTGCGGCTGCCGGCTGGGTTCGAGAGAGGGCCCCAAGGCACAACGGGATGAGTGAGTTTCGTAACACGATCGATGAGTTCCCTCTGCGCGTGCTGCACAGGACCTGGTTCCAATTTAGTGTGTACCAGACCACAGTAAAGGTGACTGGGATCTCACAAGTGAAATGCCATAAAGACCACACCAGGTAGCCGTTGTAGCCTGACCTTCAATACCGAGAGGGACTCAGTTATCCCGTTAGTTGTCAGCCCTCTGAGCCACGACTCTTACGACGTCGGGATAGGTTCATGTGTGCCGCGCGCCGTCTCGAGGGTTACACGGCCGGTCGGTAAAGTGCGCCCTTCTGCCATGGTCGGGGCTGATAAACTTGCTTCAGTATTATCTTCCCTCCCAGTCCTCTCCTATTGCGTAAGGTCATGGCTAAAAGGAGAGACGCCATTTAGATCCACGCAACCAAAATCGAGAATAGTCCCTCCTCAATTTCCCCGTTTGACGCAGCTGATGTTTCCGTTTTGCCCGCTCTTGCGGATCTTGCGAATCCAGCGTGAAAGGCTGTCTACTGAGACTCCAGGAATCATATCATGGTCTTTGCGAAATGTTTTGAGCCAGCTTTTCAACTGATTTCCTACGCATCGCCCCCAGTAGGATAGCCACGCTGACCTTGAAGGATAGCATGCCCAAAATACTCCAGCTATCCTTCTCATGGTTTAGTTACAAGGAGTGTTACCTGTCTATTTCCAGTGGAAGTCATCACAATGCCTCCAAAAGACGATTTTAAACAAGATCACATTTGTGTGTCTCTTTAGGGATCAAATCGGTGTGTCCAGGGTTGGTGGGTAGCAGGTGCAGTCATTGAGGTCGCCACGAGTTCAGCGAATGAAAACGTGCAGAATAAACAGTCACACAGCTTTCACAGTTCGCAGCACCTAGAGGCAACAACACTTAATGAACCAGGGGACTCATCGTGATCTATTTACCAAAAGAAGCTCGCTGTGCCCCACAAACTCTGTGGCATGTCTGCTTCAAATGTATCGAGCGCCGACCGAGGCTGAGAGTTTCGAATCCTCGTTTTATATAAGAAAACGCCTTCTATTGATTTTATTTGCGTACTATATCAGATTTATACGCCGTCCGACCCTGCTCGACGACAGACGCAAGCGTTTCGCATGTCTGGGCCACTCCGTTGTTTTCTTATCTTGCTTTGAAGCCGGTTTTAGCAATAGGATCCAGCGTTGCATCATATGTGCTATCACATGAAATGTTTCCCGAGGTTCTGAAGTGTGTTTTTGATCCGTAAATATTAATTAATTTGGGTTGTGATATCAACTATCACACAGCATAATCCCAAGACATTTTAGTCACACCGGGACGCTGTCATTTGAACGAGCTTCTTTTTGGCTGTCTGTGAAAAATACACTGTAACAAATGGAAATCCGAGTGGCATGAGTTTCCCTATTTATTTTCGATGCGCTTATAGTTTGTAGAAAAGATGCCCAAAAATATTATTTCTTTTACTTATTTGGAACAGAATTTCGTCATATCCAAATTTTATACCCGAGAAAATGGTGTGTCTTGGTTTTTAAGAACATTTTCGATTCCCGAATAGTTCTGAACCCGACCTCCCGTTACACTTACATTAAGGATTTCCAAACTACAAGCCATATACTTGCCGCATAGGGAAAATAATCTATTCCTCTGTGTCGTTAAGAAGATATTGGGCTCATTTTATAGAAAACATGCGCGAAAATATTCTTTCTTTCACTCCTTAGGTAGCAATTTGCGACTTCTCTAAATTTATACAGTGCGTAACCGATCTCATGAAATGTTGGCTAAAATTCTGGAATGCGTTTCCGATTAGGAAGGATTACGTAACTGACGTTGTTATACTGATTATCATGCAGCATAATCCTATAGAATTTCGGACTAGCCAGGATGTCGGTTTTTGAATGCACTACTTCTCGACCTCCTGCAGAAACCACACTCGGTAAAAAATGACTACTTAAGTAGCATGCATTTTTCCCGTTGATTTTCGATGGTCTTATAAATTCGAATACATTTTATAGAAAACATGCACAAAAATATGCTTTCTTTTGCTCACTTGAAAAGAACTTACATTGTATTCATATTTTATGCCCGAAGAAAGTGTATACTTGGGTTTTTTAAAAAGTTTCTAATTATGAGATTTTTAAGGCTGCGACGTCCATGCATGCAAGACCGCACATGTCCGTTTACTAATGCTCCTCATGATATGTACAACACAGTCCGGATCAATTGCAAAATTTCATGAACTCTGTGTGGTATCTTCTTAAAGGCAGAGAGGAGTATATGATTTTCCTTACGCGGAAAGCATGCGCCTTGTAGACTGAAGCTGGCAAACGCTGATGCAATAGCAGATCAGGCTGAAAATTATTCGGGAATAGGGAAACTTTTTTAAAACCTGAATGCACACTTTCTTCGGACATAAAATATGAAGGTAATGTGATTTCCTTCCAAATGAGCAAAATAAGGCATATTTTGTGCATGTTTTCTATAAAATATGTTTGAATTTATAAGACCATCAAAAATCAATAGAAAAAATGCATGTTGCCTAAGTAGTCATTTTTACCGAGTGTGGTTTCTGCAGGAGGTCAAAAAGAGGTGCATTCAAAAGCCGACATCCCGGCGAGTCCGAAACGTTATAGAATTATGTTGCATGTTAATCATTATAACAACCGCACTTAAGTAGTCCTTCCTAATCGGAAACGCATTCCAGAATTTTGGCCAACATTGCATGAGATCAGTCACGCACTGTACTTGGAGAAAGGGTATCTTTCTGTTTAAAAAAAAAAACTTTTTTTCAATTCATTAATAATTTTAAACCCCACCTGCTGTTGCACTTGCATCTAGCATTTCCAAACTACTTTCCGTGTAAGAAAAATAATGCACTTCTGTATGCTATTATGCCATATTATTGGCTCGTGAAACTTTGCAATGGATGTGTGACCATGTTGCGTGCTTCACAAGCATGAACGGATACGGTGCTCTAGGAATGAACGTTTCACAGTCTTAAAAAAATCCCATGATTAGCAACTTTTAAAACCAGTAAACAACTTTTCCTAGGTATGAAATTTGAAGAAGACGTAATTTGCTACCAAATGAGCACGATAACAATATTTTGTGCCTGTTTTCTGTCAAAAGCACCTCGGGCATCTAAAATCAGTGGGAAAATCTGCACCATTTAGGTGTTCATTCCTTGCGTAGTGTAGTTTTTGCAGACAGCCGGAAAGAAGCAAGTTCAAAAGCCGGCTTTTTAGCGCGACTGAAACATCTTGGAATTATGCTATACGATATCTATTATTTCAACACTGCCTCCGCCTCGCTAGCTGCCCCTCATCCACCAGTGCCTGCACAGTTTAAGCAGGTTCACTTTGTATTCAGTTACAGCGCCTCAAAGCCTTCGATATGCGGGGCGTATGCTTTATCCTCACCTCTCCTGAATCCACTCTGAAAGCTCGAACATCCTTTCAAGCGACGTCCACCGTGTGCCCTACAAAATGGTTGGCGCAGACACGCGCGAACTAGTTTGTAGCAATGGTGGACTTGCGCTGCGTCTACCGCATGTGTGTTGGTGAGGAAAGGCATGGTGATGTTGTTTGGCCGACGGCATTATACCTCGGGTTGTAGGGGGGCACATATGCTGAAAAAAGTCCCTACAAAGAAGGCTGAGACAACCATTTCTGGCTTACTACTTTATAGCTCGGAGTCGTAAAGTCCCGCATGGGAACAATGACAAAAGCCGCCGGTGGTGAAGAACAGTGGGTTCAGATACTGGTGAAATCCTTAATTTCTGGTCTTTATCCCGCCAAGTTACCTCACTTTTGAAACCGATACTTGTTTCCAGCACACACTGACTTGTCTTAGAATCTGCCTACTGGACACACCTTGCCCACGCTATTTGGCAATCGAACGGTCACTGTTCTTTTTAAAAGATTATCTTGCCGCAGTCTAACTTACCTCAATGCTCCTACTTGTTGGTGTTAGCGTTCGTATAGCGGTAATGATACAATATCTGTTTTTTATCCGTTCTTGTATTTTACGTTAGTTTTTTTCGTCGTCTCGGTCGAGCTGAAATTTCAACCGTAGCCGTTTTTTATTCTATCAACAATGTTTACTTATTTATAAAACGTAACACCTTTTGCTGAAATAGGTACCGCTTCTTGCCGTCTACTCGTGGCACCGTTTCCGGTTTCGGTATCCCGCCTCCGCAAATGCAGCGTGATTCGGGCAGTCGAGGTTTCCCTGGCCGAGGCAACGTGCTGGGCAGGGATAATTAGAGAGTCTGTGTTCACAGTCGAAATTTTGACATGCACAGTCCGCGGCTCCCCTGCACCGACATCATTTCGCCTCCACGAGATATTCTTCTTCGGTTATTTCCTGCTTCTGTTAAGGCTGTCTGTTGGGTCTGTTTTGTAAATAAATAATAGTTTTTTTGCTTGGTCCCGGGCGCTTTCTCCTTCTACATATCGCTTATGAAACACTGCTCAATTCCGTCTTTATCGGCTTATGTGCGTACCTGATGCATTGACTCGTTCCGCCATGAGGAAGGCAGTTTGAGGGCACAGAGTCCTTCATTATTGTACCGTATACCAAACCACAAGTGAATAAATTACAGCATTATGCTTCCCAGCATCGAAATCAGCGTGGGGGGGAATGCTATAGTAGGGTCATTGTACTTTATCCGTTTCTAGATCAATCACTATCTCCACACCAGTCCTTGTTCTTACGTAGGGAGAGAAATCTCGACACCCTCAGTTTTTCGGCCACACACTCAAATGAAGGACTCACTAAGTCCAATGTCTGTGTACATCAAGTCCGCGTAATCAGTCCTGGTTTGTTTGTGCGGCGTCAGACATGCGTATGAGAGGCCTGTTTCGGACTAGAACGCCAAAGTCGCCGCGCCTCATGGGTTGTTTGACAATGCTCTTTGTGACAGATACCGGCGCATCGGGCGTGTTCGAGGTAGTCTGCGACCATCATCCGGTTCACGATTTGCCGGGAAGACGGGTTAGCCTATCCGCTGGCCACCCGGCGCATCCATAGTGAAGGTTAGCTGCGAAATAAGCAGACCCAGGTCTGAAGAATAAGCAATCACGAACCAGCAGCAGCGGCAGTGCTACCAGGGTGCGGAGGGCTGAGGTCTGGCACGCCGAAGGCCTTGTAAAAAAGCCGCAAGACCCTATCACGGCATTGTGGCATGGCGACTGTAAACTGCCATTAAATATGTTTGCTTGCCACCACTGCCCTGTGGTTAAGCTTTTAAGCCTGAGCGTTAGAGAAGTCAACCTCGAATAAACAATCCGAACGACTGTTTAGGACACGTCTGGTATTTGTTCTGGCGTTCGACAGGGTTGTGTCCGGTCGTCCATTCTGTTCAACTACACTATTGACTGAATTCTCCGGATGGCCCTACACGAAGGTGACGGCGTTGAATTTGCATCCGGACATCGATTGACTGATCTTAACTATGCCGATGATATTGCCTTACTTGTTTCAAGTTTTGTTGATCTGCAATCTACATTGTCATGGATGAACGAGGTCACTAAATCGGTCGGTTTATCCATAAACGCTGGGAAGACCAAAGTGTTTTCAATTTGCATTCCTGGCAAGGAGAGAGCGTCTCTGGGGATTGATGGCTGTCAACTTGAAGAAGTAGACAGTTTCAAATACCTCGGGGCGAGGCTGCTGCCGAATGGCCAGAGTAGGGACGACATTGTCTGCCGAATCGATGCTGTTCGACGGGTTTTCTCGAGCACTAGAAAATGTCATGGATCCGACGCGGTCTATCCATCACCACTAATATTCGCGTGTACCACGCATCTGTCCGGTCTGTCCTCTACGGTTGCGAATGCTGGGCTATGCGCATGGAGGACGAGTGAAAACTAGAGGTATTTGACCACCACGCTTGAGGACCATCCTTCGAGTGAAGTTCACCGACTTCGTCTCAAATGAGACAGTCCGCGCTCGCTGGGACAGCATCGCAGGGATAACCGAGGCCGAATGGTATTACCCACAAAGACAAGAGAGACTTGAATGGCCATTTCTGGCTTATTAGCCGTCGTCAGCCAGTTGTACCCAACCCCGAAGTGTGGAACACCGGAGGCTCGAACTCGCAACCTGTTTGTCAGGTGTCCACGCCTCCCACCACTGCGCCACGAGCCCGTTGCCCTGTCGGTTTCGATCGGTAATATACAATGGTAGGGGGCGCTCACCGATCGTTCTTACGGAACTGACTCGTTCCG